GGAGATGTCAACAGCCAGAACACTCATATATGGCGGACTTCAAATCTTCATCAATACACCAGCCAAGTTGACAGTCTGGTGTGGCTTCACCTCATCTTTCATTGTCGGACCATTTTTCGTTCAAGAACGGCGTCTCGCATCTGGCTGGAAAACGTGCACAGTAACTGTCAATCATTATCTCACTCTTTTGCATGACAAAGTCATGCCCGCATTAAATCAAAGAGGTGTGTTATCTGTAATAAACTTTATGCAGGATGGCCAACCGCCACACTATGCCAATCCAGTAAAACAATTCCTATCGAGTACCTCTGATGAAGACAGTGATCAGTCAGCGTGGCAAGATCGCTAGGCTTCCACAATCATCCAAACTCACTCTGGTCGACTTCGGGTTGTGGGGCTATTTGAATTCACTTATGTACCCTTCGTTCCCTTCAACATCGGCCAAACTCAAAGATTCTATCTGTCGTAAGGTTTTTGCTGTTTATTCCAACATGCTGCATTAAGCTATAACGGGCATTGTGAGATGCCTTAGTTGTGTCGTACAATATTCTGGAGTTCATGTTGAACAATTGTTATTGAAAGAATAAATGAATGGAGCATACTATTGTCCTGTTCATTGTGTTTTGGGTCATCAACAACCTCTACTGTTAACATTTGAAACTAAATTTTTTCCCCTAAAAAAGAAATCTGACATCCTTATGAAACCTTTCATGCAAACAGCACCTCTTTATTGCAATTTCTTCCTTTTTTTATGAATTTTTAAAGTTTTAACAAATTTTTGGCTTCCCCAGTATTTTGCTTTCATCAGGCCATGTTTATCAACACATGACAACTTGAGTAATTGACTCATGCAGTGATGCTTGAACAGTTTTTTTTTTATATTAGTAATTAAATAGCAAAGAGTATAATAGCCTTTTATGTTGATATTAAGCTTAATGATAATTGCAAATTTAAGTTAAAATGCACTGAGAAATGTTGATGAGGAAAAGTTTAAAAAACTTTTCTTTCCATTATGCTAAAAATAAATTTTGTTAATGATACTCAATAAGCCAAAATATTACATTTAGTGTTATATGAATTAAGAATAATTGATTTGTTATTCACATAAACTCAGAACCGCTGCCAGAGCTCGTATGGCTGCATTGGGCAGCAAAATAGAGGGAAGACAAAATGTTTGGAATTTAGAGAAGCACCGAGCAACAAAATTAAAGGATGACAAAATTTTTAGAATTTAGAGAAAGCACTGGGATCCAAAATTTAAGAGTAGTAAAAATTTAGAACTTAGAGAGGCACTTGGTAGCAGAATTTAGGACATGAAGAGACTGCATCAGAAAGTAAGATATCTAGTGCCAGCCTTCATTAAGCTCAAGTATGTGTGAGAATTTATTTATTCAGGACTCAGATAAGCATGTTCAAGGAATAGACATAAGTATAAGAAATAACTAAACTAAATGAAGATTAATTGTCTCCATACACAATAGAAGCAGGGGATAGAGGAACAACTTGTCTTTCATCGCCAATCTCATGATACATAGCCAATAATGTATAGCAGATGCTATTAAGCTAGGCTAAAATTATACTTTACTGATACCAAGGAATTTCAGTTAATATAACACACTATAATATTCCTTAAGTTTCTGATTTGATCCAGCTTATTATTTTTTGCAGGTTATCATTATTACAACAATTTTATGAAAATTAAACTTTGAAACTTTCGATTATGTCAAAAAGAGTTTTTTCTAATTCTGAAGCTGCAACAGGATCTACAAAAAATCATGTTTCAATGTCCATTAAACAAAAAGTACAAATGCTGCAAAAAATGAATAAGGGTATATCCGTCTCAAAATTACGCAAGGAGTATGGCATTAGAAAGTCAACTGTATATGACATAAAGAAACAAACAAACAAAAAAAAGGAACTTATTGAATTTTTTGTGGATTCAGACACTCCACTCACAATGAATAATGAAAATATTATTTGTTATGCTAAAAATGATGGTCATGACAAAGTGATGATTGAATGCGTCAGACAGTATCATAGTGAGGACTTGCCATAGATGTGTCCAATGCTAATGGCTCAAGCCAAAATATTTCATAAAGAAATGAACTTAAAAACTAAGTGCACATATTTGATAAACTGGTTAAAACAAATTTTAAAATCGACGTGGTATGCAATTGAAAATTTTAGTTGAAAAAGCTTCAGCTAAAACTGAGGCTGATGAACTATTTGCAGATGAATTCACTGAACTCATTAACAGTGAAAAGTCATCTCCAGAACAAACTGAGAATGCTGATGAAACTTGTCTTTTATGGCAATATGTATCGTGAAACACCTTGGCAACATCGACAGAAAAAGCTCCAGCTGGTGTCAAAGATTTCAAAGCGAGACTAACAATTTTGGCATGTGCAAATGCTGCAGGTATGCACAAGTATGAACGTTTCAAAATCAGAAAAATACATGACCTCACGATTTAAAGGAGTAAAGATGTCCCCATTATATATCGTGCAAATAAAATAGCATGGATGACACAAGTGTTAATGAATGATTGGTTTGAAAATCATTTCATACCTGAAGCTCAGCAACATTTGAATTCAAATTTGAAGACTGTTAAAAAATTTTTGAAATATTTTAGTATAAAATCTGCTGGGTGGAGCATCCCAAGATCGTGAGAGGATGTTTTTCCATATATTTAAAAAAATGCTTGGCATAATTTATGTCCAGCTACCATATTTCATGGTAAGGGTGAGGAAGATGAAAGCCGCGAATTTGAAAATTTGTGGATATCGCAAACCGAAGGTGAAATTTTCCACTTAATGGATTTTGTAAAGAAATGTGGAGAAGTGATAATAAATGAAGATGTTATAACAGAAGATTTTCATTGCAATAACAAGCCCAGTCATCAATAAACAGACTTCGAAATCTTTAGCATGGTTCTAGATCCTGAAAATACCACTCCCAATAGTGAAGAAAGTGACAAAAGTTATTGAAAACGAAAAAATTTCGATTGACATGTTAGTCGGAATTCTTGACACAGCAATTCTAGGACTTGAAAAATGGAACTCTGCAACTGATCAAGAAACCATGTCTGTTTATAGAAAGAACTATACAAAAAGTATCAGCACAAAAAACAAAACAACTTACATTGACAGAAATATTAAGATTTTTTTTGTAAATTTTGATACTCTTTAGATCATAAATGCTTCATTATTTCATAATCCCGATTTCATATTTTTAATTTTATAATTTCTATGTGCCATCTTACTAGATTTAAACTGACGATCTAATATCCAGGAAAATCCTAAATCTGGGATTGCCGAGGTCCCGACGAGACCGCATCTCAGACTTTGTGCTGTACTTGTCTGAGCACAGAAAGTGTGTTTATCACAGAATGTATTTCAATGTGTAAACATTTTTTTAAAACAGCCTCTTTGCAAGTGAACATTCCCATTCGTCACAACCCTCTGGAACACCTCTTTTAAATTGCATAGCAAAACTGCCTGAAAACAGTCTTGAGTCACCCTATATTTGCAGAATTCCTCGTAAATACCTTATTTTTCAAACAATCCTATTAAATCTGAATGTTACAAATAATGGGCTCCTGCCTCCCATTATTTGTAACATTCATTACACTGATGTGAAATCACACTACATATCTCAAACAGGAAATCAAGAATATCATTTGCAGTGTGTAGATTGGCTCTCTCTTGCCTGAACCAATCAATGTGTAAAGAGAGATAGATCTGTTGTCATTTTCAGGTGTATGGACATTTAACGAGTGCCACTAATTCTTCGCCAACACAGCCACTTTTTATCCAAGTGTGCACAAAAATATCTTTGTTGCAACCAAACTACTGGTTTTTTTCAAAAAAGATTACAAATTTTACCTTCTATCTAACACTCAACCAGTTGTTATCTATTATCTTACAAACTGCTGTTTCATGGAAAATTAGCGTCTGATACTGACTTCTCCCGACATCCTACGGACAGTCCATGAACAAAAGTACCCAAATATGCATTTTTAACATTCAATATTTAATACTAAAAATTTTATGGAGTGATTGAATTGTTGAGTAACTAAACAGATTTAAATATTTAATGACTGAATTCAATGCAATAACAAAGCCTAATAGAACTTACTCATTTCCGCACAGCAAATGATTAAAAAAAAAATATATATAGATATAATATACAGAAATATGCATTTAAGACATTTAAGAAGTAGGTAGGTTTTCTTAAAAAAAAAGAAATATCAAATTCTGGATGAAAATATTCCAAAGTAAAAATCAAGAGCTCGAAATATCATGAGATTGAAAAAAGTGTAAAACTAATATAGTTATCTATTATAAGGTACATAATGTTATGACCTTTTACTACACTATTTATTTTCAAAGGGCTACTGCATTTCTAAATGAGATGGATAGCATACATTTCTGAAGAAAAAAGTGAAGAACAGGTAATACTGACAGATGTAGAAGAGAACAATGGCTTGATAAAATTGTACAGGATATGAGACATGTAAAATATTTTCCGGGGATGCTTTCTGATAATGATCATGATTAAAAGGACCAGAACATTTAGGAAATATGTATCTAAATCATTAATTTTTTCTGAGGATTGATCTGTACTTTTTTTATTTTTTTTTAATTTCCCTGCCTTCTTGCCTTTTTTGATTTTCCTGATTTTAGGAGGAAAGTTTTAATATATATATTTTTTTTTATTAATTTTCATTTCCTTGACATTCCAGAATTCTTCAGGTGAGAGGGAACCTGATACCTATTACAATTAATCATACATTATTTCTATATACATATGCATAGCAAATACAAAATCAGGAAAATATAATTTTTAGATCATACACAGCATACTTCAGCCTTTATAAGCTTTTTGCATACTGTTACAAATTTTGACTCATATGCAGCAAAATATAATCAATACTGATTTATTGGAATATATAAAAGTACAGCATATGTACTTTTCTAACAATAGAAATAAAAGCATACCCTACAACGGGGTGGGAAAAGTTTCTTGTTCTCACAACGTAAAAATGAAGGCCAAGAATGTTTCACTTCCACAGACTTGCAAGGGCCTCTTGTTATTCTGCACATTTCTTGAGAGGGAAGAAATATGGATCCATTCTCACATTTTGGCATATATACAGCACACAGAAGAGGTTGCACAACAGCCCAGCAGCGAGGAACACTTCGTAAACCTTGCCATAATGCAAGATTATCCTATAAATAAAACAAATGTATATTTATACCATTAAAGAATTCAAATGGTTATAAGTTAATAAGAAATAATATTATTAGACTGGCAAATGTAAAAGGGGAGAAAATTATTTTATGTTTTGGCATGTGAACGGTTGTCACTTTTTCAACTGGACAACAAATTTAGTGAAATATTTCAAAAAGAGAGTAATAAACACGGCTTAAAATATAAATACAATTTATATTACTTAAAACACATTATATATGCTATAAAATATTAAAACTCAAAATTTAAATATTCAGTGTGTAATTCTGTAATCCACAATTTTTTTTTTATTTAGAGTCATAAACCTATTATTTAACTCAAATATTTTTCTAAAGCGGGGTTCATTAAATGTGATTACATAAATAACAGAATAAATATATTATTCCAAAGACTTAAAACTGTGTATTTTACATTTGTTTCACCATTCTTGCATTTAATTTTGACATTTGTTGACATGACCTATAAAGAAAGCATAAATGAAATTAATTCAAAAAAGTGGTTGAATGTCAAGAACAGACTCAATTCATATACTTCATTTGGCAATTTTTGGTCATGATTGATTCTGTGCTAAGTGGAGAGTGTTGGCAGATGTGAAAATCACAGCCAATATAATTTTAAAAAAAAATTATGACTGACAATGATAAAACTGAGAAATAAGACAGACTTATCTAGTCACAACAAAATAAATGTAGAAGACCACTGAAACTTTGAGAATTCACCTTAAATTTCTAGAAGATATAAATCAGGATGGATCTGCAGCTATTGCAAACTTTTAGAAAAGTGCCAAAATCTTATAACAATAACTACTGACAGACTACTTACTGTGACACGATTTAGGTATGTCAAAAATGCTTTATTTACACTTAATATGAAAGTATCTGTAACATAACTGTTCATTTTAATACAACATGTACCCCTCAGTAATATACGTAAAAGACTTCAAAACTCTGTTATCTCCATTTTTTGGGAAGGGGGTAGGTTTACCAATTTTTAAAAAATTCAAGACTGTTACTTTAAGCTCATCATAGAAAATGTACAACACCCTTTTTCTGGATTACAAGGAAATAGATTGGGTTATTCATTTATGATGAAGCACAAAAAAAAAAAAAAAAAAAAAAAAAAAACCTGTCCCAGCTTATTTAGTTTTATTAACAACGTGGAAGACAGATTTCAAGGGTCCATTATTTTTCTTCACAATACATGTGTACTCATAATTGCAATTGGATAGATAGGCGACATAAATATTTTGACAGAAAAATTACTCATTTGCACTTGCAATATTATTGTCCAGAACATATTTATGAACCAAACAACCATTCCTGTCTTTTTCTAACCCTTCTTCCCTGCAGCACTCCATTTCTGAAATGAGATTTGCTGTCTTTAAATTTAATCCAAAAAAAAAAAAAAAAAAAAATGAAAATCAGTAATTAATAAAATAGATCCATTTTCAATTGCTAGAACTTCTAATCATAAATCACACATGCACACACACACAAAAAGAAAAAAAAAAAAAGTAAAACAAAGTAGCACATCATTACGCCAAAAAATTTTACAATAAATCGCAAATTAAATGGAATATGTTAAATCTCCTTAAATTTCCAATTACAGACCTGCACTTCAAAGTGTGATAAGGAATCTTCAGCCAAGGCAAGTGATGTGAATGAATAAGGAAGTATTGTCCCAAAGCATGTAGCATTATGAATTGGCCTGCAGGGAGCTTCTTGCAAACAGACACCTTGATCTAAATGGTCTTTATAGAAGTACTTCAGTCCTGTTTTGCTAGAATGGCTATTGACACTAGCATTCGAAAATGATGCAAGAAAAATAAGAACAATGACTGAAGCCCCTGAATACATTTCTTGTTCATAAACCTGAAAGATTGTAAAAGAATATCAAGTAAACAAATTGAATTCCATGAATAGGAATTAAAATTGAATGAAATAAAAATAAAATTCATATTAATTTCAAAGAAAATTTCCATTAAATAAGATCATGAAAAGTTTGCTAAATAAAATAGGTTTTAATGGGATTTTTAATAATGATAGCCTTTGGTATTAAACTTTCTTTTTAATTACAGTGAAAATATATCTAATTATATCTAATATATGGAAATACATAATCACTTTCAAGCAGTGATGGGATCAGCCAGTTCAAACTAATTTATCAGAAGCCCATTCTAAAATATTTACAATTCAGCAAATCAGTGGCAAAATATTTATACTAAGTGGCTAAAATATTAGATACAACCTCAAAAAATGCACTGGTTCATCTTTAGCTATGATCACAGATTGAGCATGGACTCTGCAAGATGCTAATATCATTCCTCAGGTATATCTGAGTGTCTGTTTCAGAGATGTTAGAACTGAATCTTCTTACACCTATGATCATGTCTTGTTCAGTCACTTGAAATCTTTCAGCTTACCCATTTTCCCACTATTTGCAATGATAATGATTTCTCGTTTAAACATGTAAACAATTTTTTAAATACAACTGAATCTCTCATTAGCTGATACTTACAGAACTAAGGCTTTTACCTGTTATCTAAGTAAACATCCACTTAATGGAAATACTAAGGCCATGGGAATTTTCAGTTTGTTTATTAAAAGTTGAGTTCAAAGTATCCATACATGAAAATTTAACTACAGTAAATATAATATAATGGAACAAAAATATAATAGAACAAAAAATTTAAGGTTGATCTTTACATTATGGTAACTTGGCGTTTTTTTGGCGAAAATTTGGCGACCAACTCTCCTACAGCAACCCTCTATTTTTTTTTCCCGTCGCCATTTGTCTTCACGAAGTAAAGACAGTTTTGTTCTTTTTATCGACGACCCTTCTCCAAAATCTACTACCAATTACACTTATGCTAGAAAGTTTATCTCACAAACTGCTTAATCAGAAAATTGCACTGCAAAATGGGAAAAAGTGCACAATACCAGATCCTTACGCTTTTTAAAGAACACATACCAGAACCATGACAACCCGACATTATCTTTAACTTTAAAAACACCAAATGGCACAAAATGGCATGCGCACAACTTCACTAATCCATGTACTCTGCTTTTTCTCATAAATTAGAAAATTTCACGAAAAACATGACAATTTTCGCAATCTTTACACCCGGTAAAAGAACATAATGAATTACCTATCGCGAAAGTATTTACCCGTTCCAAATATGAATATTTCCACAGAAAAATAAATACAAGAGCCAAAACTTTTACCTTTAAGCAGCGAGTACATTATACAGTCCCACGATTCATACCCACCCATACAAATCTAGTATCAAAGATTAATTATTTCCAGACGGGACTTCACTTAACGATACCAAATTCGACAAACATAAATTCACAAAATAACAGATTTACTAAATTAAGTAAATTCAAAACGACTACTTAAAATATAAAGAGCACGTACATGAATGAAGACAGACATAATACACCCATTTCGAATGACTTTAGGTACGGCATGGGAGCCAAAAATTCAAAAACACGAACAGGGGTCAACAACACGAATAAGCCAAAGACAAATTTCCAGATTTTTTCCCGATTGCCCCGTTTTCCCGATGAAGAACCTAATTCTCCGTTAATTCCATACATAGCCCATGATCTCGCATTTCCTCACACAATAATCGGAATCGGAACTGAGACGCGTCACTTATACAAAGTGCCATAATAACCTTTATCGCCTCCAATTCGCCAAACTACCAGTTACCATATTGTAAAGATCAACCCAAATACTGTTTGGCTGTTAACCACAAAATGATTACATTTAATTATTATAAGAAAAATAAATAAATTCATAATTGAAAATATGAAAACTAAATGTAGTATTTTAAAATCGATCTAGATAATTTCATTTTCAAAAATAAAATAATACTGGAAATATATAATCAATGAGTAATGGCATGTAAATTATAACAAAATTATATGAATACCTGGTTTAAAGAAGATAACTATTTTAGCAGCATTCCTTTACACTGTGCAAGCATGAATAGCATAAATGTATATTCTTCGAAAAATTCTAAAGGAAAAAAAGGAAAAAAAAAAATTAACATTTAAGTATCTCTACTTTTTCTTCCCCCCCCCCTTTCAAAAAAGCGGAAACTGACAGAACAGAAATATATATAAGTACTATAAAAATTCAATATTTCAATAAAATACTCAACAAAAAATTAAGAAAAATACTCACAAATAATAGTAAGAAGTACATAACTGTACTTTTGTTTACACTGGCTTGAAGGAAAATGACTTTCAAAAATGAGATACACAAAAGTTTGCTAAATTCGGCAACTTAAAAGATTCAAACAAAGCGCTTAATATTTGCCATTCGATCGGAAGCATAATACATACCAATAAAGTAACATTGTAAGCAAAATTAAAAGATCAAATAATAATCTTTTCTTCTAGAAACTTATAACATTTTCCATCACGGAGTCATAAACATCGCTATGATCTAAAAATTTCACTGTTATGAAACATAAAACAGAGCTGGAAACAGAAAAGTTTGTAAAAAAAAAATTTAAAAAAAAAAAATTTGGCAACAATTACAGTTAATGAACAGGAGCGCATTCGGGTGTCGGGAGAGATAAATTGAAGAAAAAATGAAATATTGGGTAAGAAAAGACTAAGAACATGCAAAATTAATATTTTGACGAAAATAATTTTAATAAATTCCTCATCTGAAAAGGGCGGACGTGGAGATGAGAATTTTACAGTCCTGTGGTAATTTTAGTTGTAGAAAAAAGAATGATATTACCGAGTATAAAATTTCACTCTCCCGTTACTTTCTGAAATTTTTGTGCTCTTCTCTCAATTTCTTTACGAACAACGTCGAAAAACACTTCCAAATTAAAATTCATGCCGCTAGTAAAAATGCAGCACTAGATTCAGAAATAGAAATGAGAAAGTTTGTAAATGAATCTCAAAGAATTATGGCTTCGGGTGATTTTAATTTAAGATTCTGGAAATCCAATATAAGAAGTGTTGTGCCAGAGGAAGATTCCTCCACGGAAGGAGATGTGTCTGTTTTGGGCTTTGTATGGTATAAAGATACAGATACATTTTTCTTGCAAAATAGGTCAAGATATAAAACTGGATGACCCAGTTACTAAAGACTAGTTTTAGCAGTACTCATCAGGTGTTCCGTAGAAGGACATACGGCTCCTGTAATGTTGATTCCAAACTTTTACAGGAAACTTGGATTGAGGAATAGGTTCTAGAGCACCTGTTGCGCCAACTTGACTCCTTTAAGATGAGCATTTCATTATCCGGAAGTAAATATAATGTGAGAAGGTGCGAGGGAGAAAAGGAAATACATGGGGAAAAACGGGATTAAATGTTTTATTGTTTGTCCTGATGCTAATTTCGCGCTGTGATATTGCTAAATTAGCATTAAAGTCGAGTAATGGCGGCTATCGAAAACGCAGGTAATTACTTTCGATCCGTTTATATAGGATTAAGATCACATTCCTCTCATAGATCTACATATATAATAACGAGCTACTTTGACACTTTTAATCTGGATGTGTATTACACAACTTTTCTGCTTTGAAAACCCAAGTATTGAAACATTAGTGGATGCGTTGAAAATATTATTCAGATATTCTCGTGTTAAACGACTCTATAATCTCATATTATTCAGTTCTCATATATAACTACTATAGAAATATGCTTCTATTGCCGAATTGGAGGCTTAAATGAGACGATGTTCTGCTCGATGAATTAACAAAAAAATTTAGGTTTTGGCGTAAAACGCTGTACTTGCTATCCAGTCTCCAAATGCCTAGATGGGTAGATCTCAAATCTATTAATGAAGTATTGAGTGTGCATCTCTTTTGTGACAGTAGTAAAAGTGCGTATGCTGCATGCGGCTTTTTAAGAGAACAGAGTGGCAAGAAGGTAAAGGTTAGTTTGGTACACGCAAGATCAAGAGTAGCGCCTTTAAAACTTATCACGATTCCTCGATTAGAACTTCTTGCTTGTAATATTGGTTCTAGGTTATGGTTCTTCAGTTATTAATGATATTGGCCTACATGAAGTCCGTATTCACTGTTGGACTGACTCCTCGACGGCTTAAGTTGGATACGACGAAATCAACGTTGGGGAACATTCATTTAAATAGTGGCGTAGCTAGGGTGGGGCAAGGAGGGACACCTGTCCGGACACACCATCCAAGGGGAGCCAAATTGATGCCACGAATTTTTTTAATGAAATGTTTACCATTCTTGGCACACAGAAAGAGGCGCAAATTCTTCAGTTGTCCCCGAGCGCTGAAAACTTTAGTTACGCCCCTGTTATTAAAAGGAGTATACAGCATGAACTTAAACAAAACCAATCTATTTCTTTTGAGAGTAATATTCTATTGAAATTGAAATTGAATTTAACAAAATCATAATCTCCAATATTTATATTCCACCGAACCATAGACCAATTATGGCTGAAATCGAACATATTTTGGACTCTAATTATCCCTCTCATGTAGGTGGGGATTTTAATGCGAAATAGCAATGTTGGAATCCTGGTGCAAGCAATAGAAAAGGTACTGAAATTTTCAATTTGTTCCAAGATGAAAATTATGTTATACATGTACCTGATGAACCAACACATTTTGGTTACCATAGCTCCTCCATCATTGACTTTTTTCTTTCAAATAACCTCAGTTACAATGGTCAAACTTCTGTTATTCCTGCTTTATCTTTTGATCATAACCCTATCTTGCTTGAAATTAATATCAACTGCTTCCTTCCTGCATTAGGTCGCAGCACTGGAATTACCAATTGGAATAAATATTCTCAAATTCTGACTGAAACTATACCAGGAAATCCTTGCATTAGTAGTAAAGAAGCCTTAGACACGGAAATTCAAAATTTTACCAACAGTGTTGAACAAGCCTTTAAGTTCTGCTACCAATAAATTCATCAGTAATCACAATTTTCTTCCTCTTCCGAATAATATCAGGCAAAATATTAAATATAAAAATCGCATCCGGAAATTATGGCAGTCTACTAGAGACCTAAGAATTAAAGCTCACCTAAACGCTTTTCAAAGGACCATTAAAAAACCTTTCAGGGAATTTAAATCTCAACGGTGGAACAACTTCTTAAACACCCTTGCTACTGAAGACAACTCCCTCTATGACATTGCTCGTAAATTCAAAAAGCCTTTCAGGTAGATTCCTCCACTTCATCGTTGCAATGTACTTGTTTACTCTGATGAAGGTAAAGGCCAATACTTTCGCTGACATTCTTGAAGAATGGATGTACTACCAATACCTTGAAGAATGAATGTACTACCAATACCTTGAAGAATGAATGTACCTTTACTACCAATACTTCCCCATATGATAATGATCATATCACCAAAGTCAATAGCACAGTATCTTCTTTCCTTTTAATAGCCCTGGACCACTTAATTTCACTTTTCTCGCTTTTTCGAGAATTGTTGCCGATTTTATCAGCTCTTTAAAAGCTAAAAAAGCTGCTGGATGTGATGGCATTTCTTCCAAAGCACTGAAGCATCTTCCAATTAACTAAAATAATTAACTCAGTTATTAAGTTCTCCTACTTCCCAAAAGTATGGAAACATGCAGTTGTTGTTGTCTTCCTTAAGTCTCATCAAAGTTCTGCTTTTCCTCAATACTATCGGCTTATCAGTTTACTTAGTCAAATGTTTAAAACTGCTTAAAAAATTATTCTGTTTTATATTAATCTAAGCATTTCTCCTAGCTCTTATACTCCTGATGAACAATTTGGATTCAGACATCTGCACAGCACCAATCATCGGTTTCTTCTAGTTATGAATTACATTACTAATGAATTCAATTGCAAATATCCTACCGGCGCAATTTTCTTAGATATTGCCAAAGCTTTTGACAGAGTGCGGCACCCAGGACTAATATCCAAACTAATTCAGCTCAATTTTCCAAACCACTTTATTCGACTTATTGCCTCTTACCTCAGAAATTGCACTTTATTTTAAGCCATTATTTTCAGAAAAAGACAAACAAGCTTCCTTCCATCTAATCCCATCTTCTTTGATGACGATATTCAATGGACGGATCAAGTAAAGTATCTCGAAGTCACAATCGACAAAACCTCACTTTTCGGCAACATTTGCACGAAATTGTCAGGAAAATTCAATATCTCAATAGCTACTATGCGTCCCCTCCTCGGCAGACATAGCAATCTGACTATCAACAATCATCTTTTTTATACAAGTCCGATTCTATGCCTACTTTATTTTACGCCAGTCCGGTATGGGGACACGCCGCTAGAACCCACATAAAAAAGATCCAAGTTATTCAAAATAAAACCCTTCGTGAAATTATTAATGCCGATTTTATAATTATAATGCCGATCCAACGTTTTTGCACATTGTATGTCTATTTTCATTCATTACATCTTTCTTCGCCGAATGATGGCGGCGAAATGAAATATCCTATTCTACCATCTCGATTCTTCTTCTCCTCCTTTTGTTGTTCCAGACATTCTTTTATCTAATGCAGAGTAAAAGCGCGCTGTCACTCTACTTCCATTCGACACAAGTAAGTGTTATGCAGATCAATTAATAGAAAGAAAATGGATGGTGGGAGGGATCTGATTCGTTACTAGAAGATGAGGCAAACTGGTCTAAATCTAATGATGAACCAGATGAGGATTTAATTATTTCAGAAATACGTAAGACAGCTATTGTTGATAAAGAATGATAATTGTATTGGATGGTACTATAAGTATTTCTCATCTTATAAGAAAATTGTAAGAATATTATCATGGATATTCAGATTTTATAATAATGTACGTAATAATAAGAACCATTCTAAGGATTTGACTGTATCTGAAATAGAAAGGAGAAATAGCTTTATGTTATTAATACAAAAACAGTCGTTTAATGGTGCAACACATGTTAAGCTAAGACTACTCAGACCATTTGTCGATAGTCAGGGTCTAATAAAAGCTAGGTCTAATGCTGCTTATCGTGACGGCTCTAGCAGCTTTAAGTTCCCCATTATATTACCTTCTGAGCATCCAGTAGTCAAATTATTGATATTGAGTGCTCACAATGAGTTGTTGCATGCAGGTACTACATTGTTAATGTCGCATTTGAGAGAAAGATACTGGATCTTAAAATCACGTAAACTATAAGAAACTGTATAAGAAAATGTAATTCATGTCTTTGGAGTCATTATGATTTATTTTGTAGTGCTATTATTGTTGTATTATTCCTCAGTATTAATTTTGTTTTCAAGTAATATGATTTAAGTATTAAGTAATTTTCTTTCTTATATAACTCTGATTTATACTGATGTATGATTTATGTGTTTAGTGTGTAGCCATTCACTCAAAAGGTGGGAGAAATGTGGAAAACAAATAACTCCCCACCCCTTTCCGAAGAGAGCGTTAATGGCCCCTTCTATACTCGGCGCAGATACATTTCAGCTGCACCTTAGTTTTCTCGTTTCAGTTGCGTTATAAATTTGTATATAGTAGGTACTAAGAATCTACTATATATAATCTTATCCTGATTATCCTGATTAAAATATTGGTGTGCTAAAATGTGTCGTCTCAGTTTTGTCGAACCTGTAAGTTATTATTTATTGAGCAACAGTAACCTTAATTACATTCCGTTATCTGAAATTTCTCCAGCAACTTTAAGTTAAAATCTACAAATATTTGCCTACCAATTATTTTTAGTGAAAAGTGACA